GCACAACTTATCAACAACCGGTTTATTAACACTAGCGTTGTGAAATGTAAACGAACGAATTTTACTCTCGCAATATATTGTTAGCATTGTATGGGAACTCAATTATTTTAAAACCAATAATTTTTTATGCATACACCAAAGTGAGTTTATGAAGTGTGCAGTTGTAATTATATAACCTCTTTTATTAATCACTTTCCATAAATTCGATGTTAAAGATATAAGAGATGTGCTACAGGTACACAAGGGTGTACATAAGGGTGTCCATAATGGACACCCGGCTCCCTCCCATTGGAGGGAGTACCGGACCCACCAACACTCCATCCAATGGGAGGGCGCCAATGGACACCCTTATGTACACCATTGTGTACTTCTAGCATTTTTCAAGATATAATACAACCATATTTTTGCAAATCAATAATTAATTGTTTCTTTGTATAAAGGAAAAAGGATTTTGGTGAGTCAACTTGAATGGAACTAAGCACTCAGGTGAAGTTGAAAATCGATTCGAGATCTAAACCAAAATTTACGGCTCAGTCTATTATAGAAGAGAGAGAAAGAGTGTATTGCTTCACCACTACCAGCGGTACCGCAATATTCTATTTCTAAGAAAAGACTTGGGAGGGTCATTAAACTACCACAAAGTATGCTAAAGATGACTTGTCAGCATATGCATTGAATGTGGCTAAAAATATTGAAAACAATAATGAATTAACACTGTTCAAAGAAGACAATTTAAATGTGGTTTGTTGAACACCAACCATTCCATGTTTTTGTTGAAATTAAGTCTATGTTTGACATTCATTTTTTTCTCATTCTCACTCTCATTTTTTTTTCCTCTTTTTTCATTTCAAACACAGATTCTCCAAATAAAATAATATTACACACAAATCAAAAGCAAAATACTCATTGGTTAATTTATGTTCAATACCACGCGAATCCAAATACAAGGTTTCTTTATAAGAGACAATCGTATTAAGCAAATATAGGTTATCGTAACCGAATAAAAAGATGACACCCACAATATTTGAATTAAGAAAAAGATCAAACTGACTATTTTTAATTGAACAGGAGTAACCAAATTTATCCAATATAGAAATAGAAACCAAATTCCATCCAAAAGGACGATACCACAAATGTCTCTTTCAAATTCAAATAATAATCAGTTTTTAATGATAACCTAAATTTTCTAAAGCCTCAACCTTAACTGATTTACCATCGCCCCAGATAGATGAATCTTTCAGCATCAATTGGCTTTGGCAGCTCAGACAACCCCGCATAGACACACTTATATTAGTGGTGGTACTGAAATTTATCCTCCAAGTGTGTCTAGGTATTAACATTAAATTTATCTCAAAACAAACCAAAGTGAGAAATGTACTTTTCTTTACATGCCAAGCGTGGTATTTAGTACAGTCTCTCTTTATATATCCCAAATTTTCACAAAAGTTTACAGCTAAATTTATTTTGCTATTTATGTTGAACAAAACGGGATGCAGCTTTCTTATTCTGTCTTTTCTTGAACTTGTCCTTAGAGGTACTAGCCAAGTGAGCACTTTCAGTCCCTTCTTGCTTCAACCTTTCTTCTTCTTGCACACAGTATGAAATGAGCTCATTTAGAGTCCATTTATCCCTTTGACAGTTATAACTGACCTCGAATTGTGCAGGAATAGAAATNAGAGAAATTAAAACCAGATGCATGAGTAAATCATCAGATAGCTCAAGCTTTAGAGCCTTTAATTTTGAAACAATATGAGACATCTGCATAATGTACTCCTGAATATTTTCTTTTACCTTTATATCTTAGTGAAACTAAGTATGCCAAAAGCTTACTAGTTTCAGCCTTATCGCTCTTTGCAAAACGTTTTTCAATTTCACCAAGAAATTCCTTGGCAGTAGTTACCTTATCGAACACAGCGCCCCTGAATGATTCTGGAATACCATGCTTCATGATCGTAAGACTCATGCGGTTTGAACAATCCCACTTATCAAAGTCCCTATTTTCATCAACAGAACTTTTATCCGTCAGTGCAGCGGGTTGTTCGATCCTTAACGCAAGGTCTAAGTTCATACAGCCAAGAACGATCCGAACGTTCTCTTCCAGTCCTTAATAGTTGGTTCCATTTAGCACAGGAATGGAGTTGATGTTGGCA